GTGGGTAACCAACTGGAAAAGGACCTAACGGCGGGCGCCTGGATGGAAGAGGTGCTAAATGTTGATACCTTCATTTATTTCCACACAGAGGAGGAGAAGGGCTCCAATAAAAGAGCTGGCACTAATCAAAGCGTCGGCCATGTCGATCTATCGCCGCCTCAACGGGTCACTTCCTCACTGTGTGAGATGAGGTCATCGAGGGCCGCGGCGACTGCTTCAAATAACCCGGTCAGCGGGAACCAACGGCTCCTGGATGCCTCCTATCTGCCGCAGTGCACCGTAAAAATACATTCTTACTTCTCTTTCTTTATCAGAAGTGATGTTGTAATTACTTACTTTATCTTTAATTCATCCTTTTCAAGATGAAAACTGCTTTAACTGTAACGGTGCAAAGCTTTGATATGTTGATGCCAGTTCAGTCAATAGCAACAATGACCCAAACCTTGTTCCTCGTCTAACTTTTCTTCCCACTTTACCCAAAATGCAACCCGAGTGTCTCACTCCACACCGCCAGAGGACATTTCCAGATCGTATGTGTTTTTTTAAAGACCCTTGTGATCTTAAACCTGCTTGAATGAATCTGTTGGGGCGAAATGAAGAATATGGAGGAGCATTTATTCTCTCATCGGGGTCAAGTGTTTCACAGCGAAGAGAGTCAGGTTGAAGTCCAATGAGTGTCATTCATTTTAAATAGAGAGCGACCACAACAATCGCACAAACGGCCTCGGCATTGTACACCCTCATTAAGAATTCTTCTTACGCAATAACACAAAGGGACATTTGACCATGTGCGCTACCATGAACTGAGCGTGGATGAAAGCGCTGCAGCATTTACACGGTGAATAGAATCATGGACCATAATATAACATAAGCTCTTTCAATGACCTTCTTTATGTCTCCAGGGAGACAGTGTGAACAAAGCCCACGCGTCAGCTCTCCACAGAGACGCACTCGTGTCCACAATGATGGAGGACAGGAGAAGACAAGTTTTCCTGTTCACCTCCAGTTATCTCGTTCACTTTCACTCTGCTGCGTCACTCTCGAGAACAAATGTTCTCAAAAGACGAGTAAAAGCGGCGCAGAGAAGCGATTATTAAACCGGCTCTGCAGGTTCTCCGCTGGTTCTTCATGGCGTGCTGCTGGGCTCAGGTCAATGCTGATGCCGTACATCAGGTGAATGTTTGCGTGTCATATGGATCTTACGTTCTCATGTCTTCAGTGATGGCCTGAGGTCACAAGGTCAAAGCAGAACATCCGGCTGCTAAATATACTGTTTTACACGGAGGAGTTCTCAAAATAAAAGGTTACGCCCAACAACCCAATAACAGCAATAATCACTTTAAAGACCGTCACTATTTTAGCTGTATTTGAACTATAAAGATATTTGCAAAGGAGCATTTACAATCAAGCAAAGAGCCTTCATTGGAAACAAGCTCATCATGAGAAACACAATGTAGTAAGAAGTCCATTGGTTTGATCCTCTCTCTGCAGAATAGTGCTAGCACGTCGTATCGGCACTCTGCCGCTGCTCACCACTTATACCGTTCTCCTGCGTGGAACAACGTGACACTCCTGGTCCTCGGCGGCCCCGGATTGCAGATGTAATGCTTGAGACCTTGATTCTGCAGGAACCAAACACGCCTCCATCAGCAGCTGGATGCGCTCCATAAAGCTCCGGTGTGAAAGAGGCCTCAGCTGTGCTGCTTAGTAAAACACCGGCAGGTTAAGAATAATCGGTAAAAAACGCCTCTGCTGCTACCGAATCAACTCCTGCAAACTGCTGATTCCATTCTGTTCCTGTTTTAGTGAACACCTGCTGATGTTTTTTGTTTTTGTCCTGCGCAGCAGGAGCCATCACATCCTGGACTGAGCCTATTATTTGGCTGTTTGTACCTGCGCGGCAGACACCTGTCAGCTAGATTAATTACGCTGCCGTAGATGCAAGAACGGAGAAAAATGTGAAAAATGCTTCCAGCGTCCAGCAGATATTCTGCCTGAGACGTACAAACTGTGGACAGAACCCAAATGAGCAGATGCATCGTGCTAATGTGAGTATGGATATAATCCCACGGGTGCGATTTTTCCTCCTAGTGGGAAATGTTCCTCAGAGCTCCACAAATCCATAAATATTTCATATTTATATCTCTATATTCAATTCAATATACAGGAATCAGGAACATTTATTACAGATGTTGGCCGCGTTGGCCCATGACGCCGGCAGGGGTTTTTGTCGTGGTTTCCATGGTTACATCTTTCAGAAACTGCGTGGCCATGCGGCTTCGCCACAAAGTATTCTGGGCGTGATGACCAGCGTGTGCGGTCGGGGGAGGAGAGGCGAACTGTAAAGGTCCAGTGAGGAGAAACCAACCCAATGTAAATGGAATCTAAACAAGCTTTTAGGTGTGAAACTCCACACAATCTCACAAAACTCTTTCTGACGGATATTCATCAAAACTCCTTTTATTCTGAAAGGTTAAAAATTGTCCTTGGAAAGACGTGTTTGAGCTTTGGGAGCGTTGCATCATTTGATCTCATAGAAGAAGTGAGGAAACGTCAGCCGGTATTTGTGTCATCAAAGAGAGATGATGCTCCTCTGAGGACCTCAGCCCGCCTGGAGACACGGAGCGCTGCTGCCCTGCCTTCATCGAGGAAAATGACCAGAATCTTTTATTTTTCCAAAACAATTAGTTTGCCATAATTTCCGATGAGTTGAAGGTTGACTTGCCGCGACATTTATTGTTTTTTCTATGAACAAGGTTTTGATTACTAGACGAGAAACTAATTTACTTTAGAATTGAATTTTTTGACATGTTTGGTAAATATCAGGCAGGAAAAAGTAATTTCCCTCCTCTGCCTGTTGTTCTTCCCTCAAAACAATCAACAGCAGACAGCTTTGGACAGATGCAAATCACATCATTAACTCGGTAACCCGAATCCATTCTGCAGCAGGAGAGACGAGCAAATGCAGGAAGAGAAAAGAGGGAAAGACAGGAAGAGCGAAGACGAGCCAAAAAAAGGGAAATGGTCGGATAAAACATCTGCTGGATTCGCCCATCTGTGCCAAGCCGAGCGAGAGAGGCCCGCTGTGAGGGGGAGGGGGCGAGAGAGGGAGATTGAGAGGTGGTGGGCGAAGAGAAAAGAAGGGGGAGGAGATGGAGGCACACCGCCCACGTCAACAAGTGCCAGGAATTGTTTTGGGGGGGGCATCACAATGAAGGCGGGGGCCGGGTGAAAATCCACAGCTAACGCTAAATCCCTCGGGAAACAATTAAAGGGCCATTGTTTCACACGGCCGGCTCCGATTCCAAACTTTTATTTTCCCGTTCTCCGGCTCCGTCTTTCTGTTTTCACACCTCTTTTCGGAGGATTTTCTCCTCCTGGAGAAATACCCGCTGTTTTCTCCCCTCGCCGTCTTTCGGAGGGATTTAGCGATTGATACGCCTGAGGCTCAGCTCTGTTAATCAGATGTTTGTCTCCCCCGCTGCCGCTCCTCCAACCACCGCCTTTTAAGTGCTTCGCTGAAGAAGAAGAAGAAGAAGGCGTCTGGGTCAGCAGAGGACATGATGTCTGCCCGATTATCGCTGAATTGAAGAGATTATCCTCATGCTAAAGAGATTATTGCATGTTCAGACTACAGGCCGAGGGTCCAAAAGGACATCAGCAACAAACATAAAGAGAGCAGCATCTTTCATCACGTTTAGGTTCACATCCATATTCAAGATGACCGTGAAGCAAAGCGGCTGATCAACCTCAGGATGACGTGAGCTACCTGGAGATCAGGAGCCCCGGAGGCCCTGAAGGCCTCGTGTTTACCACATGTGGTTTATGTTCATTTCATGGAAAAAAACGATTGGTCTCAGAATATCCATCTTGTTTTTCCCCTGTAAGAAACGGCTGGCGATGCTTTTATCAAACACAGCTCTTAAAAACACTCGGTATAGGATGTAATAATAATGTAAAATATCTACTGGACTACCTCCTACAACGTATCCTTATAAAGAGAATCCTCAGACAAAGGATCTTCTTCCATTACATCACAGGTCATTTAGCAGACGCTTTTATCCAAAGCGACTTACAATAAGTGCAAGCCGAATTACAACTCGCTGTAGATAAGAACCATTATAAGTCCAGTGTAAGTGCTACAGTTAGTGTGTTAGTGGAGGTAGAGTCTGAAGAGGTGTGTCTTTAGTCTGAAGATGTGAAGGCTCTCTGTGGTCCTGATGTCTTCAGAGACCTCCTTCCACCATTTAGGAGCAGGACAGCAAAGAGTGGAGATCTAGTCGAGTGTTTTGCTCTCAGTGAGGAGGAACAAGCAGTTTATCACATGCAGAGCGGAGAGTACGGGTCGGGATGTCGGGTTGGACCAGGTCCTGGATGTAAGCTGGACCCCATCCATTCACAGCCTGGTACCTGAGCACCATGTTTAGAACTGGATGAGCCACCGGTACCAGTGAAGAGGTGTATGGGAGATCGTATCCTCATACAACAAATGTATATATATATGATTTTTATATGATATATGAAGAAATATGCTTTCTTTCATTGATATGAACAAAACATTTTAGGATTATTCGGTCGAGTAACTGACAGATTAATGGAATGGAAGTAGACTTTTTTTTAAATGGAAATAATAATAAGTTGCTCTGAAGGCGGATCATCCTCCAGCATGGAGGAATGATGGTGTATTGATTACGTGTTTGTCAGTGTTTCACACAGCTGGGCTGGAAGCACATAATGAGACAGCTCTGTGTGTGTGTGTGTGTGTGTGTGTTGTACATGGACATACATGTACAGAGTCTTCAGTTCTGCCTCCACACATCCATCAAAGCAGCTCGTCCGTGACGGTGCATCTGTGAGCAAAGCACTCGGCGGCTAATCCTGAACTTTGCTAAATCGCATTAGCGGCTAATGAGCTGCTCGTCTGTCTCACCGGAGTCTGAAGGGACAGAAAAATAGGACTTCAACTCACGACGCATCGGTTAATACACAGGAACAAAAAGGTGCTTTTTCCTTTTTAATCAACAAATCCCACAAAGAGACTTTTATTGAGCATTCGTATCAACATTCAGTATTTTCTGATGATAATCAATTAAAAAATAAATATTAGGTCGGAAAACTAAAAGGAGAAACTATGCCGGTGTTGAAGTGGCAGAATTATCAGCTGCATTGACATTACTCAGACGAGTCGCCCCCTGCTGGTTCCTACAGAGAATGCAGCTTTGACTCCTGAAGCTGTGAGGCCCTGGAGAGGCTTCGCTCGGCTCTGATGTCTTATTTCCTGATGGTTGATGTAAAGATAATGATGGGAATGTTTCATCAGACCAGTTGAGACCGAACCAAAACAGAACCTGTGTGAGGTGAGCTCTGTTTTTCAGAGCAGCTCCTTCCGTTGGCTTCCCTCCCTCCCCAGTAATTAGGCCGAGACGACGTGATAAATCAATACGCGAGTGCTCGTCTGGAAGCGGAGCCACTTGAAGAGCTCGGGGCACTAATGCGTTGAGCAGAGAAAGAGACATTGCACTGTAATCAATCCTGCTACACAAATCAACTTACCCCCCCGCCTCCTTTTATAAATCCACTTCCTCTACTTAACGCTGGTCAATGGTTACCTTCGAGGTGCAAACGGCCGGCTGATCTTTGCCACACTGCAGGATGCACGCTGTGCACCACATATTGACTTTTCAATTTCCAGTAATGCCGCATAAACCATATGACACCGGCTCGTGGGACACGTCTCACTCCATCGCATGGACACACGTCATCCGGATGTATTGTTACCGGCGAGCAGACGGGGGAGTCCAGGACAGGCAGGATCGGCAACGGGACGTCCGCCCTAAAGGAAGCGCTGGAAGGTCTGGCAGCGAGCGAGCGAGTGAGTTTAAAGTCTGAAGGGAGGGAGGAGAGGAGACAGGTAGCTGTGACAAGCAGGTGAACAGAATGAACTGATTAGATGGAGTGAGAGGTGAAAGTGATGACAGCGCCAAGGAAAGGAAAGGATAGAACATAAAATGAGGAGAGGAAAGGACAGAAGAGGTGAGGAAAGGATAGAAGAGGAGAGGAAAGGAGAAGAGAGGAAAGGAGGAATGAGGAAGGGAATTTCATTTCAATTTCCTTTCTTAACAACGTTTTCATCATCATCAAAAACTATAATCTTCAAAACCTTTTGAGTGTTGCAGACGTGTGAAAATATGAATTGGATTTCATTTCTTCGGCCACGAGCGTTTCGTCAGCCTTCCACATCTGTGAAGTAACTGTAATATTTCTCATTTGAAATGACTGTCTCATCTTCCCGCCTCTCACCTCGTTCCACCTCCTCCTCACTAACCCTTGATGAACGGCCTCCTTTGTCGACATGGAACGTCAACAATAAAATATAACCATTTATTACCTTGATTTATACATCAGGTCTCAATTGATTTCAATTAATTCAGCAGGCGGTGAACAAGCATTATTAAGGACACACATTATGGCGACAGAGATTTATGCCATAAACGAGGTGGCAGTCCCCGTTATATGAATTAATAATCTATCACCTCTTTAAAATGCAATTAGGTATTATTAGACTAATGGCAGAAAACGATTCAGAGCAGGAAGGGAAGAAATGGCAATAATTCTGAAAGTGAAATCAAATGGATGTTGAATATGGTTTATGAAAAAGTTTCCCATTACACATGAGTGTGACTTGGTAATTAAATGTACGGGTAATGAGTCGATATTCCTGCATGTTTTGATTATGCTTAGTGTGTGTTGGGGGGGGGGGTCACCTCCGCTCCATTTGTCTTCTCATTAGCTTTAAATCTCTGTCAGTACTCACTGACTTCCTTTCATAATCACACAGTCACATCTGCTGCGGCGGGAAAATAACAACCGATGCATCGCTAGAGACTCTTTTACCAACTCAACTTTAATTCTGTGCTCATTTTATTTATTTATTTATTTATGAACTTTAACTTCTGGAACCCCGCTGAATCGATGCCGCAGATTTTAACAAGACTAAAAAGTGTGCCGCCACACTGAGGGAGCTCATTATACCAGAAAACATCAATCAATAGCTTTTTGTATTAATATTCGTAGCTGAATAGTGAGCCACATTTGCTCAGATTAGAAGCGATGAGGTTCCTGTTTGTAAACTGCTCATGTGGAAAAAACGCATGTAGGTTTCAGTTGGTTTTGGATCAACTTGTGGAACGTTCTACTTGTTCTCCTTGGACTCTCTGGACTCACATCTGAGACCCAGAACCTAGAGGCTCCATCAGCGAGCTGCGTGAGGAGCATTTTACGTCTCAACATGTGCAGCTGAGACGACGGTGACAGTAAGAAGCCTCATTCTGTTCATTGCACAGCTCACTGGTCCCTGCAGCCAGAGACGCTCTAACAGACCTGGGATCTGCACACAGAGCGCACGGCGCTCCGCTCTGTTGGGGGGGCAACGAACCGCAGTGACCGTGACACTGTAACCTACATGATGTACTGACACATGCCTGTACGCGCCGTGTGTGCAGCATCAGAGGGAGGAAGAGGAGGAGGAGGAGGAATAGGTGGCCTTCTTAGTCATTCATTGATCTGCGGACATTTGTGGCATTTTGGGCGTCGCCATCTTGGACAGGAAGTGACCACATCTGGACACGGAGGCGCTGTTTCAGTGTCTGGTAGAGACCATAAACATCCCTGTAATATATCGTTATATGCATGAAGACTGTGAAGTGCGCTTCCAGTTTGCCAGTAGGACTTCCTCCTCTTCTCTTATTGGAACATATCTGCTGATCTTAGGATTCTAGACAGCACTGTGACAGAAGGCTGAAGCACAAGGAGAGCTTTTATAGTCTGACAGCAAACAATATTTCCAGAAAACACAAAAATAACAATCTGCAGTCACACATGAAATTAGATTAAAGATTCAGCGGCACTACAAACGCCAGGAGACGAGTCGATGACTAAATGAGGATGTTATTGGCAGGAGATCCGGTTGGACCAGGAAGGTTTGAACTTGGCTCCATCAGCTGCTCGGGAGGTTCTCTGATGTTTGCAGTTTTTCAGCCTTAATTCTTGAGGGGACATTTGACTAAAGAGGAAGCCTCTGTATAATTGCAGGATCCCATTTGTTCCTGGAAGCCGCCCAGTGGAACCACAGTGTGGTCGGGTGGTTGGGGGGGAAGGGCCTTGCTCAAGGGCACCTTCCAGGTGCGAGATGCAGTTTCCTACACGTCTGACTGAAGCTAGAGGCCGTTACTGCCACCCGCTTTTATTCCATTATCGCTGCCGAGGGCTGAAGAATAAAGATTTAGTCATGAGAGTTGAACAGAATGCACTTTAACGAGTCCACATGTCGCTGTGATGTCACGGTGCACCGCCGCGTCCTGAGAGTACACATCTACATCACAGCCGCTTGCAAACTGCCTTTTTATGATTATTATGGTGACTATATTACACACAGTGAACAATCACTGAAGTCTATTTCCTATCTGAATTTAGTCCAAATAAAACGAGTTAATTGGCCCGGCTGACTCACAGTTTCACAGCAGAAGGATGTGCGATCCATTTCTAAAAGGGTCTTTTTTCCATATCACCAGGACTTAAAGACACAAAATAAAGCGTGCAGGTGCGAGCTGTGCAGTCTGGCAATGAGGTCAGGTCACCTTGAGGTCAGCGGCCTCTCTCTCCATCTTTAACCCTGCTGGTGTTTTGTGAGACTGTTTGTGCCGCTGCGATGCCTCGTCACCTGCCAGGTGAGGAGCCAGTAACCTGCCAGAGTGCTGCTGGAGACAATTGTTAGTTTTTGTTTAACGTAGATCACGTTCAGGACTCCATTCACCTGTTACAGGTGAGACGGCAGAGCTGGAAACCCTGTCTGCAGTGACCAGCAGGGGGCGACTTCCCATAGAAGTTTATGAGAAAACGACTCTACTTCTCTCAGCATCTCTGGTCTCCATGCCTAGTTTCTCATCCAATACAACGTCATGTTCATTTAGTGATTTATGGTCCAGTTAGAGTCAAACAGACCACAAAGCAGCCGATGCTTCGGGGCGGGGCTACACAGTGATTGACAGGTCTCTAGAATGTCCTCTGTGCTTCGCTGAGTGGTTACACGTTCAATTTTCATGATTCCAAATAAAAAGATTTTTGTTTTTTATTAATTCACCGTTGTCACTTTGCTGTTTTAGTGACGTTTACATAATAAATTATTTTAATTAGCTTCTCTATTTAGTGTCGGAGAGAAGTGATCCTCGTTCAGCTGCATGGTGTCCATAAATAAATCCCTCTCCTCTTCATCCAAATGTAGTCCCAGTGTGCAGCTTAATCCAGACCAACCCAGGTTCAGCCCTCTGGTTTAAACTATAACGTGTATTTATGTAACAAGACTAATCACTTCTCAAATCCTTCAATACATTTTTTCTCTCATTAAATTGGAAAACCAACGGGCTTCGACTTGATGAACACGGAACGTGACTGTGACACATTCCTGTTCAGCTTCACGAAGTAATATGTTAACAAAGTCAAATATGTCATGAAATTAGGCCGGCCTAATTAAACTTTTACCAATCACAAAGGAACCTTCCCACTCAGTTGAATATATTACCTTTAGCTTCAATCCTTCTTTGTTGGTTTTCACAGCAGAAACCTGCTGACTTTGGCGAGTTCAGCGTGACGTAGCAATGCTCCTCTAGAGAGGTGTTCATACCTCAACAACAGCGACCACGATCAGAGGTCAGATGGCCAAAGGTCTCACGATGCATCCTCAGTGGAGCATGAACCATTCAAAGCATGTCATAGACGTCCACCCGTAGCTGCTGGGGGGAATCCTCTGGGGAGCAGGATTGTTCCGTTTGGCCCGTGTGGCATTTTAATACAGGAACATGACGACACAAAGAAAACCAAATGCAGTTATTAATAAAACTTTAATAAACTCTTTTTTTAACTGAGCTCGGATCCACTTCCTGCTCCGACCAAAGGATCCGGTCCTTAACCACAGAAGAAGAGGAGCGGAGCTGAGGGCGGGAGGAGACAAAGGGTGGTGTCAGATGTTAAATGGGCAGGTGGGTGTGAGGGGGGCGGGAGGTTAAAATGATGATACTTTATCCCTAAGTTGTTTGAGAGGCTCCCACCCAGCCCGGGGTCATGAATCAGCCTGACCGGCGATCCCTCTGGCGTTTCCGGGGACGGTTGCCCGGGGGCTACGGAGGCGGTAACCCCCCCCCCCGCCCCCATCTTCATCATTTAACATTTAATCGAAGCTGCCACCTGTCCCGACTCTCGCCGGCGCCTTTGCTTCAAATCCATTCATCTCTCGCAGCTGAAGAGGAGCGGAGGGAGAGAAAAAAGAAGCGCTCCCTCCTCTGTGATGGTGCGCGGTGATCAGGTGTAACAGGAACATCAGTCTACCTGTCAAAACACCGAGCAGGAAGTCCCATCCATCAGAAGGAAATCATCACGGGCCCTGCCCCCTCCCACTGAAACCGACAGATGAAGTCCTCCTGAAGTTCACACAGGAAGACTGTGGAGCTCATACTTCTCCCATCTGCCTCATTACGTCGCTGTGCTCGTGGTTCTGAGCTGTCAATCACGATGTGAGCCACTCGGATCAGCTGGTCCGTGCTATCCAATCAGCGCAGTGACAGGGTGTCATCTTGCTGCTGTCTCTTTGGAACGTGTCTCTCTACCTTCAGTACGTCCACGCTGCTCCACTCAACCTTCACCAGCTATGAAACCAAAAGTCAACGTTATTTTCCTCAAACTTGTAAAGAAACTCAGGAGTTTAGGGAGCGTGTGCTAGTCTCTCTCTCTCTGACCTTTCACCACCGATAACAAACAGGAAGCGGCGGTTATGGATTGGAGGCGTGGCCGCTGAGCGCTTGGCCAGACGGATCGATGCATCATACTAATAAGTAAAATCTGCTAGCGCCAATTACGGCGTGTCATGTTTACCGCCCGAGTGAGTAATCGTCCAATTTAGTGAGAGCTCACCAAGGTAAGCTGAGCTGCTCGGAGCTCGCGCTCTCACACGCCAGTAATTAAGATCCCAAAACACACATTTTAATATTGCTGCGAGCCTATTAGGCCTGCGGGGTTTGTACTGTGTGTGTGTGTGTGTGTGTGTGTGTGTGTGTGTGTGTGTGTGTGTGTGCAATGACGCCTTCCCCACAAAGCGTTTCATGTTTCCACCACAGAATCTCCCATCTTGTGTTAACATTTTGTTTTCTCTCGAGGCTAAATGAGTCCTTTTTAATATGTAGTACCTCAAAAGTACTAAATAGGCTTTCTCGTATTTACTTGTTTCAAAGACTTTATTCAAGCAAAGTGTATCGATTGAGTGACGTTGGACAGCTTCGGTTTCTGTCATCAGAAACTCAAAGTTTAAACTAATATATTAGTTTTTACTCCGTTTTTACTAAACTAATATATTAGTTTAAACTTTAGACTTTAGAAACTTTAGATATTTTTTTCTCAGCCTCTCTGAGCAGCAGAATATTGCAGCTCTTGTTGTCTAATTTTAGCAACTTTGATGAACGTAAGGGTTGGAAAGATAGATATACCTACCCGTGTATATATATATATGTGCTGCATATAAACCCACCCGTATGTGGGGGAGGTGTAGTTGCTCGCTGTCTTTGCGCTGGTGGACAGAAGTGCCGGCGCAGCGATCAGTGTGAGATCACACGACGCTTGGTGAGATATGTGAAGAGGGACGAGCACACGTACTTAGGAGGGAATCTGGTCATTTTTCAAAATAAAACATTTTACAGAAGAAGAGAGTTGAATGGCAAAAGTATATATATATATATATATATATATTGTTTGTTGTATATTGTTTGTTGTCCAGTAGCGGTCTGTGGGACCGCTGATCGAGGGGGTTTCATCCGTCCACGCCATGGAGGTACAGTGGATGGATGCACTGTTGTTTGAGAAGCAACAGTCAGCCGGTATTTATTTTTATTTCACACATGTTTGCTAAGATGAACGTGTGAGTCGGAGTAAAGTCTCTTGTAGAGCTGGAGGGAAGGTCGGGGTCATCAATATTCATTTCCACGACGAACACCTCACAGCGGAATGATCCAGAGTCCCAGTGATCCGGCTGCAGGTGTTCTCTACCTGCGTGTGTGTGTGTGTGTCTGTGTGTGTGTGTGTGTGTGTGTGTGTGTGTGTGTGTGTGTGTGTGTGTGTGTGTCTGTGTGTGTGTGTGTGTGTGTGTGAATGCACAGCCGACCTCCAGCCTCGCTGACACCAGCAGCTCGTTGTTGCTGAAAGCCGAACCGATCCGATGTGTGTTTCACACGCTGCTGATACCCTGCCTCAGGTCTGTGTGTGTCTGTGTGTGTGTGTGTGTGTGTGTGTGTGTGTGTGTAGTATGAACTGTAGGTGTGTCCTCAGCGTGTCTGTTAGCAAATAGTTTGCCTGGAGGAAATCTCCTGAAATAAACGATTTTACTGCAGATGCTGGAGGCCTCCACTCCCCTTCCTCCCCCTCCTCCTCCCCCGGTAGCCGTATGTCGGTATACATGTTTACTGTCCCTCCGACGTCCAGTCACATTTATTTGGTGCGATTGTTGACATGATTCAAGAAGCAGCCCAGAATATCTAGAAGGGAGGTGTTTTGTTGAGGTGGTCATTATCCAACAGTCAGAAAATCTGCTGCTTGCTATTTCTTTTGAGACGGAGAACCTATTGAGGAGGAAAATGTACAAAACAAAGCATTTAATGATGTCCGCTGGAAGTGATATAGATATTGTTTCATCATCGTCTCACATTTTGTGGACAAATTGATCAGTGGAGAAAAGAGTTGTCAGATTAGTCAATGCTCGTGGTTTGAATAAAAATGATTACAGACAGTTTTATAGCTTGAAATTTAGGATGATAAAAAGTCCCTTGATGTTATAAATAAGGACCATTCGTGCAGCTTCGGTCGGTATTTGTTGGGGTGACATTATGGACTCTCCTCTTCCTCTTTTGATTGACAGGCAGTGACATCGAGAGCAGGAAGGAAGCCGGATATTCTCCAGATTCCATAAATTGGCAATTAGCTTTAATGAGCACTTTAACTTTAATGAGAAGCTCGCAGAGCTCCTCTCTTCCATTCGGTTCTTTTCATGCGTGTGACGAACTCCACCGGACTCAACCCCCCCCACGCCCCCCACCTGCACAGCACGCTGTCCAGCTACTTGAGGTGTGTCGTTTGAAGACACCTCGACGTGGAGTGGACAGAAGGACCTGGGGATCAAACCACCAACCCTGTGACATGCAGGCCGGTCAGACTGAACACTGTTGGCTGAACCTCCCCAACAGAGCACCGAAACAAAGCTGATACGCTCCACACAAATCTTCCTCCTCCTTATTTTACTCCTTTATTTCTTGTTTCCTCTCAATGTCATTCCATCTTATTATAATGAAGCTCTGATTCTGTACAGCCAGAAGCATCTGAGCGGTGAGGAACCTCAGCCCACAGCGACGGCCTCTATTAGGTTACCAGTGGAGCCCGGGAGGGATGGAGGGACGCTAGGATGGAGGAATGGAGGGATGGAGGGATGGAGGGACGCTAGGATGGGAGGAATGAGGGGATGGAAGGACGCTAGGATAGAGGGACGGTAGGGATAAAGCAAGGGAGGGACGATAGGATATAGGGATGGAGGGACCGTAGATAGAGGGATGGAGGGATTGGAAGGACGCCAGGATAGAAGAAGGGAGGAACGGTAGAATAAAGGGATGGAAGGACGCTAGGATAAAGGGACGGTAGGATATAGCAAGGGAGGACCAATAGGTTAAGGGTATGGAGGAATGGAAGGACACTAGGATAGAGGGATGGAGAGACGGTAGAATGAAGGGATGGAGGGAACGTAGGATAGAGAGACAGAGGGATGGAGGGACGGTAGGATGGAGGGACAGAGGGACGGGGTGGAGCGGGGGTGGAAAGCATGAGCTGAGATCGTTAGTTGGAGCAGAAACGCTGGCCTTGTTGACGTCATGGAGGACAGATGTGCTAATGTTTCCATGATGATCTTGATAAATTAAAACCTCTTCTACAGACCAAAATGTTTGTGAATAAAGATAATTTATTATTGCTTTTACCTCATGTCTCCCGGTTTTAGCCGTGCTGAATAAAGAATAAATGGATTCAGGATTGAAACTATGGTTGAAAAGACGAAGCTATTAAGACATCAGAGATCCTGACAGAGGACAATGAAACAATTTTCAGTTTAGTAAAATACAGCCGGGCAAAGGCTAATGTAGCATAGAAAAGCTATCACTAGCTAATGATGTGCTAACGTTTATCTGGGACCAGGGAAAATAACGTATGCATTTAAACTGGTGCGTACGCAGTGACGTGGAGGACGTGTAATATTTCCATTGGGCGTACAGAACATATTCTAACAGTCGGATCGTAAAACCACAGACCTGGTTCTCAGCGTTCTCACTGCGTCGATTACCACGCCGTGATCACTCGGATGTGAGAGGGACAGCTCACCAGGGGGCTCAGAACACTAATGAGAATGATGTGAGACCACCTACAGTACGGGGTGCCAGCTTTTGAAATCCACAGGAAACCAGGATATGTGATTATGAAACAAACATGTTTTCTTCTGATCAACAGGAAGCCTGATTGTTATATTCATTCATTCCTCCGAGCCGTTGAGCTCAACTGTTTCCCATGAACTATATTAAAATCGATGGAGTGAATCGGGAACATTTGCTTTGCGTGCTAATTTTCATTGATTTATTTATTCTGTTAAAGGAAGGATAACTAGTGGTTTGGGCTGATAGAAATGAATTAAATTGTAATCATTTCAATGATCTCGTCTTCTGTAGTAAAAATAGCAAACCTTATTTTCACTTCTCTTAGAATTACAGTCTCATCTTCCAAGAATATGGAGGCGAGATTCTTTAATGTTTTGGAAGTTGTTCCACAGAGGTTTCTGTGAAGGTCTCCTCTCTCACTGTAGGAGAAGGACGAGATGTTTCATTACACATTCTCCCTTCTGAGGGAATATGGATCCCTCTCATCTCCTTAAAGAGTCATACATTACATATGAGGCATGCTAGAGGAGTGGGGTTTCATACCAACCGTGATTTAAAGCAGCTAAACTAGGCCATCAGA